AGCATCTGAACCAGTCCTGCACTGCCTGCTCCAAATTTCTCATGGAAGACCGTGAAAGCCAGCACTGTCATTAGTCAGGTTTTCTATAACTTAAAGCTGAACAAATTTCCAAGTAGTACAGAATCTGTTATCTTCAAATGGAATCCTCGAGTAAAACAAACCTAAAATGTGGAGCTGGCAAAATACAAAGACGAAGGAGGAAGGTAGTGAGATATAAGGACCAATAAATATATCAGGCTGGAAAGTTAGGACCTTCACTGCAAAATGACAACACATTTAATCACATCTTCCCCTGACATGTCTTGGAATGTAGACCAACTAGAAACCTAGGTGTAGTGATAGAGGAAGTGATAGAAAAAGCTTAGAAAGTTAACAAGAGCTGGCTCCTTGCACCAAAGACCTGCAGAAGTAAGATGCTATTATTATGAAAAACTAAAACAAGTATCACTGGCTTTGGGGCCAGGCCATGGATGGAAGCTGGAAGGGCCTTAAGAGAGTTGTTGGTAATGATGTGAAGGACAGTGAGGAGTGACTGATAGAAGCTGGAGGGAAGGAGACCCTGTTAGTGGAATGTCTGGCAGAACTGTGTGGTCTGTGGTTACGTGCGAAAGAAAGGATGCCTAATGAAAAGAAAAGGTATTCAACAGGTGCCTCCTTCTCATTAGAATAGAAAGGCAGCTAATGTGGCCAGGCTGGTACAGTGGCTCACTCCTGTAATCCCAGCACTCTGGGAGGCTGAGGTAGGAAGATGGCTTGAGCCCAAGAGTTTGAGGTTGCTGTGAGCCATGATGCCACAGCACTCTACCAAGGGCAGAATAAGAATCTATGTCAAAAAAAAAAAAAAGAAAAGAAAAGAAAGGTACCTAATGAGAATAGAAAGGGTACCTTATGAATTTATGTATCTGACTAAGGAAAGTTTTAGCCAGAATAGTGAAAGTGCCAATTGGCTTCTTCTGTCTGCCAATGATAAAATGAGAGAAGAGAAAGTTGAATAAAGAAGGAACTTTTCAATTTTTTAGCAGAATTTAGAGGGAATATTGAGTATAGTCCTTCCAGCCAGCAAAAGACTCTCAAAATAATAAATGGCCTCAGGACGAAACCCAAATCCAAGGTCTTGCCAGTAAGGAGGGTCCCAGGGTAAAGATGAAGTCAAAGGCAAGACTCTTTAGTGAGACTTCAGAAACACTTATAAAACAAACATCATAGATCTTTTCAGACTAATATCTTTAAAAGTTTTCCTCTTCAACCCTTTCCAATAAGAAGGCTTTTAAGAATCTCAAGGGCATTTAATCAGGCACTTTGGCCCTTTGCAGAAGAAACGATCTCAGTGAGATTCGTGGGTGTGGCTTTTGTCTTAGTAAGTGAACTATGAGTTGATGTACAGGAAACCCACAACATTTTTAAAAGAATTGTATCATTTAGACTAAAAGGTACAGAGATAGCCCAAAGCAATAAAAGAAGATCTGGGATCTAATTTTCTACAGGCAGCAGGCAGGCTGAGAAAGCCACTTAGCTATCAACACAGATGTTTCTTGTGGAAAAGAAAGAGTTAACTAAGAAAAGGAAGTCAAAAACCAAGGGCTGAGAAGAGCCACAGAGAGCAGAACTGAACTCCCAGCCAAGAGCCTGGCTACAGGTGAGTAATGCAATTTCAGAATCACTGTTGTTCGATTTCCACTTTGGGCCCCAATACACCATTTCCCCATTCAGATAGGAGTGTTTATCACAGTCTTTGATCTTTCTCATCTTTGAACACCAGCCATGTTCTTCCAGCCAAGAAGAACCATTGTGGAGCTGTACTGGTGTAACTGCTACTGAGAGTCTCACTCATGTCTGACCTGACTAGATGCTGCAGGCCGTGGAAAGAAGGCATGTGTGCGTCACACGTGGGAGGGCTGTGGGCCGTGGCTGCTAGAAGATGGACTATGGTGTATAGTCTCCAAGGACGTCCACACCAGTGTCATGCAAGCTCACGTTAAGAGATGTCTAAGCCTCCTCCGCTTGCATCTGGGCCAGCCTTAATGACTTGTTTGATCAATAGAATGCAGCAGAAATGATGTCTGGGGATTTCTGAAATGATTCTTAAGAAGCCCACTTTCATTTGAGCCATACTCAATGCTCACTCTGGGATCCATCTTTTCATAACTTGGCTGCCACTCTCCAAGAAGCTCAAGCCACACGGGGAGACCATAGGTAGGCACTAAAGCTAACAGTTTCAGCTGAGTTCCCAGCAACAACCAGTGTCAACTGCCAGGTGTGTTGTGTGAGATACCTTAGATCTTGAGTCAGCTTGAACTTTCAGATGCATCCAGCTCCAGCTTCCATCTGCAACTGCATGAGAGACCCCAAATGAGAACTACCAACTAAAGTTATGTCTTAGGCAACCACATGTTGGGGTGGTTTCTTATGCCGCAAAGCCCTGTAGCATCTCTGAGTCACTGAACCCAACCTGAACTGCCTACCCCAGACTTTTCTCTTTTTTTTTTGAAAGAGTCTAACTCTGTTGCCCAGGCTAGAGTGCTCTGGCATCATAGCTCACAGCAACCTCAAACTCTTGGGGTCAAGAGATCCTCTTGCCTCAGCCTCCCAAGTAGCTGGCACTACAGATGCCCACCACAATGCCCAGCTAGTTCTTCTATTTTTAATAGAGATGGGGTCTTGCTTTGCTCAGACTGGTTTGAATTGGCCTCCCAGAGTGCTAGGATTACAGGGTGAGCCACTGCACCGAGCAACTCCAGACTTCTTATTGTATAAGTCATGTAAACACAAATGTATTTAAGCCACTGCTAGTCAGGTTTTCTGTAATACATTCCTAACTGGTAGAGAGTTGGGTAACTAGAAGTGGGATGCACCAAGAAAAAGAACCTAAAATGTAGAATTAGATGGAGATAGGAAAGAATGAAATATGAGGACCTAACCTTCTCAGGCTAGAAAATTAGGGACCTTTGTTATGAGATGGAACAGCATCTGGCCAGACTGTCACCTGGGCACCTTAGGATGCAGAATATATGGCAACCTAGGCTGCAACTTCAGGGCATATGGCAGGAAAAAAAATCAGAATTTTGATACAAGCTGGCTCCCAGTAGTAGCTTTTAGCCGAAACCAACAGAAAAGGAATGAACTCAAACTGGAGCTAGTCAGTCTGACAGCAGATGTTAAAAGAAATACAGGTTGGGTGGCTGTATTTCTCCTGTGGCTCAAAGGAGTAGGGCACCAGCCCCATATGCCGGAGGTGGCAGGTTCAAACCCAGCCCTGACCAAAAACAGCAAAAAAAAGAAAAGGAAAGAAGGAAAGAAAGAAAAAAAGAAAGAAAGACAGCTTTTTTTGTTCTCTCTCTTTTTTTTTTTTTTTGAGACAGAGTTTCACTTTGTTACCATCAGTAGAGTGCCGTGGCATCACAGCTCAAATTCTTGGGCTCAAGTTATTCTCTTGCCTCAGCCTCTCAAGTATTGGAAACTACAGGCACCCATCATGACAACCGGCTATTTTTAGAGATGGAGTGTCTCACTCTAGGTCAGGCTGGTCTCAAACTCATGAGCTCAGGTGATCTGCCTGCCTCGGCTTCCCAGAGTGCTGGGATTACAGACATGAACCACCATGCCCAGCGTAAGAAATATACCTTTTCTAAAAACAAGTACACTCTTGCCTTATTCCATTTTGTACTGCTATAACAGAATACCACAAACTGAATAATTTTTAATGAACAGATTTTATTGGCTCACAATCCTGAAGGCCGGGAGTTCCAAGGTTGAGGGGCCAGAATCTAGTGAAGACCTTCTTGCCACATCATCACATGGTAGGAGGGCAAAGAGAGGGGCAGCATGGGGCAGGAGACCCATCCTTTTATAAGGAGCCCTGTTTCCCTAGAATGGCATTAATCCATTCACCAGGGCAGAGCCTTCATGGCTTCATCACCTCTTAAAAGTCCCACTTCTTGGCTCGGCGCCTGTGGCTCAAGTGGCTAAGGCGCCAGCCACATACACCTTAGGTGGTGGGTTTGAATCCAGCCCCGGCCACCAAACAACATTGACGGCTCCAACCAAAAAATAGCTGGGCGTTGTGGTGGGCGCCTGTGGTCCCAGCTACTTGGGAGGCAGAGGCAGGAGA